CATTCATTCATTCATTCGTTCTTCTTCTTTCGGGTTTATGCGTTTGGGTTTTTCTGCGCTTATTTCATGTTGCGTTTTATTATTGCTATGGGTTTAATTAGCCGAGTTTCAGTGGGGTTCATTCGCAATAAACTACAATTCAACGCATGTCTTCACATCGTTCTTCTGCTTCAACCATCCACATTGGAATAGGACTCAACTCTTATTTCATAATCAAAGGACCAACATTTCAACAAAAAGAGTTGCAATCCCTCTACTGAATACTTCATAAGAATCTATTAGAATAAAGCTAACAAAAAACTTTTACGACACTTCTTTCGTGTTGGGCAGTGCTCGGTTAGCACTATTTATAGTAAATATTCAATTAGTCATTGTGTAACGGAAACTAATGATACAAAAAAGATCAGAAAGTTATTTGATGCAAGAAACTGATAAGAAACGAGAATCGCCTGATCATTTGAAAGGAGGAACCAATAGTAAAGACAAGGTCATAGGATATAATTCATTAGCGGTATTGATTAAAATCGTATATGAAATAACAGAAACAAAGTATATCTTGTCATCAAGAATTTATGACAATAATTATTGTCATAATTAGGCGATAGTAATTATTGACTGTATTTTTGGAACAATAAATAAAGCATCATTCTATCACATAAATAGGAGTTGGAAAAGCAAGCATTGACTAAGAATTTATAATAAGCAGTTTCTTCGGCATAATATATAACGATAAATACTTCAATTATGTCAATAATTTTATGTTACAAAGTTATTTCATGTTTCCGATAGCTAAACAGAAATTTAGAACTGCACCAGTAAGAATATAAAACGTACATTTTTTCAGGAAATCAAAGGAGTTAATTTTTCATTCCGTAAAAATGAGAAATTTTCAAATAAATTCTGAAAATTATCACTTGAAGTTTTAAGAATTCAATCAGTAAGAAAGATGAGATAAAAAAATTATAAATATCGATAAGCGATGCATCATTTCTATTGTTGATTTGGTCAAAAACATCGCAATTATTGTTCTATAATTACTTCTTCCATTAGATTCCCCGCATACTCAGTTTCAAGCATTATCATCATTATTATTATTATCAACCATATTAATTGCAGTAATGAGAACTGGTTTTCACCAGCATTATCTGTTGTTTTTCACCCGCACCATGGAAAAAATTTCCACATTTCTTTAAGAATCGCCCATTCATAAAAAAAGGAAACATTCTTAACCTTTTTCCCAATCTACAACTAATTTAATTTAAAAATTTACGCGTCAAATTTAAAACATGATGGATAGCCTTGATATTACGTATTATTACGCATTATAATTAATGAATATTGGAAAACAAATGCTATTTTATAACAAAATGTTACAGCACAAAATTAAATTATGAAATAAATGCATAGAAATATGATGACTAATTAAACTATGGGTCATTATTTGGTACGATCTAAAACGATATAGCTAAACATAACTATGTCTTCGAAAATAAGTTTTTGACAGTCACTTGGGAAGGAAAAATCTTAATAATAGGTGTAATATTGAAGTGGGGAAAGTTATTGTCGAAGACGTTGTGATAAATTACATTGATGAAAAGAATTCATTTTAATCAAACAAAAAAAAATCGATTCGTTTGTTTAATTAAAAATTAATTGGTGGAAATAAATAAGTGATTTAGTGCTGAGCAAGAAGAAAAGAGTAAGATATGATTAATTTTATGTTAATATAAAAAACTAGAAAAAGTAGATTTAAATTGCATTTAATAATGAAAAAATATATTGGAAAAAAACGAAAAATAACAAGCTATCATTTAACAAGCAAATTATTGTAAAAAATGCAATATCAATGCGATGTCATGAAATATACGTCAATTAAAAATGAAAAAAAAGTGTCATAGCCGTACATTAAAACGTTTATTGTATTTTTTCATTTCATTTGAGTTTCAAAAATATTTTGCACAGGCACAATGAATTTATTTTGCCGGAAGTAATTTATTTTTTGCTGTTTCGAAAAGATCAGATATATTTTTGCACTGACAAGTAGGAATTGTAAATTGAAAATATTTGGTTCTCATTTTTTAAAAGATATTTTTATGCTAACTCTTTGAAACAAGTTATGTGATATTTATTTGAAAATTTAAAGTTAATTTTGTTAATATTTAACTTCAAGTTTTACTCTGAAAAATGATCTTGCCGTTGTACTTATTGTTGATACACTGATTAACTTATTTTTTACAAATTAAAATAAACAAATGTTTTGGATTATAAAAGACAGCGAAAAAAGATCTTTTTTGAAAAAACTGTCAGTTGAGTAGCAAAAAGTTCCAAAACTTTTATAAATTCTAAAAATTTGTCGCAAAAATTTCGGAATGCTTTAAAATGCAAATCATTTAAGTCTAGAAAAGTTAAACATAAAAGATTTTGAGCATAAATTACAAAATTTGCAAACATCAAAAGAGATATACCGCTTATTTAGTTTATGTATTGTTAATTTTAATTATACACCAAATACAATCATAAAAATGTTAGTGAAGTTATCCAGGAATCTTTTGAAAAGTTTAGAGCAGTGGAATTGTTCTTTTAGTTCTAACCTATTTCGAATGTCAAATTATTTTAATTTTATAAATTTAATAATAAATTTCAAAAATTGAGATAAATTTTTGTTCAAAAAAGTACAGCAATAAAAAATAGTGCTAGCCTTGGTGTCACTTTAAAAGCATTTTCTGAGATGAATTTTTCCAGTTTCATTTGGTTACGTGCAAATTGTCTGAATATATCACACCTCATCGTTTTCAAAGATTTTCTACTTCAGTATAGGTGCGATCAGCTGATAATAAGAATGAAAATTAATTATACATTGCATGCATACATACATGAGATTGGAAAAGAGGTAATTACAGGTAATAAGCCAGTCAATAAAAGTGTAATTCATCATTTCTATCTGTTAAATTCTACCTGCTTTTGATATTTTTAGGTTTCAAATTCATTCCCTTTTAATATTTACTTTTACCGATTTAAATTCTAATTCAAATTTTAACTAAATTTATAAATTCTTAAAATACTAAATAATTGTTCTCATATCGGATATACCGGTTCATGCGAATTCTGCTCCTCGCCCAAGCGATGTTACGATCGAATTCGTCTATCATTGATCACTGAGTTATTTAACAGTATTGAAGTCCAAAGTAAACTTATTAAATTTTAAAGTTTAAAACTCGAATGAAAATCATTGTTTTAACTTAATTTCTAGGGAGAAATAGATGCTAGCTGAAATTCGCAATACCATTAGTGCCGTAGAATCAATTTTTGAAGTTAGTTCGAATCGATTTGACTAGCAAAACTGATATCATATCTGGTGATGTCGAAATCGGGCGTTTAATTCAACGAGGCACATTAGAATCTATTATAAATCATACAGCTTATTATACAATGTTCAAATCTTGACTCTTTAAAATGAAAATACTTTTTCAATTTTGTTCTTTTTATTTTATTTATTCAAGTTAAAGTTTAACAATAATTTGAGTTTCTAATTTAACATTTTAATAACTCTTCCGAAATGTCATAATTCAATAATATCGTTTAGTGATACGTTGTTTTAAAAGCAATAATTCATTATCAGTGAATTTTGTTCATTCATGAACATTGATGTTCAAGAAATTTTAATTATTTCAGGGAGACTTTTTTCCTTTTGTTTTATCAGTCTTGTTGATTTTATGATATATAATCATTATTCTCTTTATTTCAATGATTTATGATCATTTTAAATGATAATTTTTGAAATTTATTGTTAAATAAATTTTTCTCTTGAATTTCCTTAAATTACAATTACCTTTTTTTGATCGATCATTTGCAACATAATTTGGTTCCATTTAGTGAATTATGATTCCCATTTTATGGATTTTGCGGCATTTACTTTAAAATAAGCATTAAAAGTTAAGCAAACTAAAATTTTAACCATACTTTGTAATTTTTTTGACTTATTTTTATAAATACATAATTTATTAGGAATAATTTTGTTGGAATCGTTTATTGCTAATAACATATCAAAAATAAAAATCTTAAATTGTGACGTTATTTTATAGCACAATAAATAGTAGAATGTAACAAAATAAAATAACAATAAATTAAGAGCTATCAGAAAATATGTAAAAATTAGGAGCTTATAGAATATCGTGTACGGGATTGTGCAGAAATGCATTGAAGATATGGACGAGCAGCACGACTGAGAATTCGTAAATGACAAAAAGTGGCATTCAATCCACTGACAACAATGCTGTAAAATTTATAAATTTTAAATCGATTTTATTTACTGTCAGTTTAGTTTTGCTATAATTTAGCTTTAATCATCAGTGTACAATGTGATTTGATGTCAACAATTGATTTGTATGAGAAAACAAGAAAATTAGCTATATTATAATCTTACTTTCCATCTTTGAAGCCTGCACATGCTAATAGATCAGATGCTGTCGGTATCAATTCACTCCATAGACAATCTAAAATCAAATTTTTTGAAATCCATTTGAAGACAGTTAAATGAACAAGTCTGTAATAACTCACCAAAGAATGATCTGTTTCAGTCTATATATGGTCAGAAGTCTTTTAAGATTGATTCGTAATGATCTATTTATGAATCAGTTTGTGATCTGAATATGTAAAATTTAAGCAATTCTTCAGTTCAAGTTTAAATAGCATAAAAGATGAAACTTACTTCCATCATCAAAATTCCATAATTTAGCAGTGTGGTCAGCGGAAACACTCAATAGTATACGTTTCGAGATTACCTGCTGTGGCAAAAAAATAGTACAGCTCACCGATTCCTCATGTCCACGATATTCACGAATCATCTTTTGCTGTCGGATATCCCACAACTAAAAATAACGCAAATAAATTAATCAAAAGTCAAATGGTTATCAAGTTATCCTCATCCCTACTTTTATACTAACTAATCTCCATTCAAAAATGATTAACAACAATCCTTAGAAATCAGGTTAGTAAATGAAAAAAAAAAACGGAATAAGCAGGGGTAAAGATTTGCCACATGATCGGGCATATTTTTGAAATTTAAGTAATTATGCAACAAATTTTACCGTAATTTCGCATCCATCACCATTAAAACCATTACTTGATGTAATACAGTAATTACCATCCGGTAAAAAATCACAATGTGTAAGCATGTACATTTTTTTTGGGAACTGAAATGCAAGGCATAGATTGCGATCATCCCAGATTCTGCAACAAAATTTAGTAATGGAAAATTTTGGTTTCAATTTGAGGTTATCGAAATTCATTTTTATCTAAATTCATTTTACCATTAAACGATGCAATTTGTTAATTTTGAGTGGTTTTTTTGCAAATTTTTTATTTGGTATAAATACGAGAAAGATGAAATTGGAAATTAAAAATTAAAAATTCAGAAAATTTACTTCAATTGTTTATCTTCCGATGACTGAGCAAGGAGATTATTCGCGCTGCAATGTGATATATGAGTTACCTGTAATTTATTTAAAATAATTCAGGTAGTAAGTTCATAAATAGTTGAAATTTATTTTTAATGAAACTGCTCGAAAGCTGTAATAAAGTTGAAAATTGAAAATTTTAGAAGTTAATATAAAAGATGAAATTGATAGAATGTAACAGTTCGCTGTTTTTTTTTTTATGAAATGGGAAGTAAATGGCTACCAAATTTCTGGAATGTCGAGCAACACGCAAGCAATTACCCGTTTCGAGATCCCATAATCGTAAAGTGGCATCACGTGCACCCGAGACGAATCTCGTTTCTGTGATTTTAATATTATCATTTCATAAACTTCCTATATTCCATCCCATATCCTCTAAAATATGGGATGATCACTGGGTCTCTGAGAGAATTTTTGCCTTAAATGATATGTTCTTTACTTACGATCAATCATGGCCAATCCACCGATACTCATTTCATGTCCTGAAAACATTCGTATGGAACTTGGATTGTCGAATTGCCAAAGTCTGATTTGAGAATCTCTTGATCCACTGAGAATAAAATGCTTTACAAATGTATTTCGATATGCAATCTGTAAGTAATTTGTTCGAATAAATTTGAAAATTATTTTTAAACTTTGATCTTTACTTCAAAAAAGTCCACAATAAAGCATCAATCATTCATTTTTTTCTTGTCTACAAGGTTTGTAATTCGGCAGATAAATTGTTGTATGGCCTCCTATTTTCATTACTAATAAAGTAAATTACAAAATCGAACGAGAACTGTAGGCATATATCTACATGTATCTTCACGTACACGTACGTATGAATGAACATTTTGTAAGAAAATATTTGTGTTATTGGAGAGAAACGAATAATTTTATTATTAACAAATAATGAATATTGCTAGTCTTACTCAACAGCGATCAATTCACGAAAGGTTAGTTTCCAGAAAAAAGTGTAAATTTCTGGTTATAGTTTGATTGGAAAATCATATTTATATTCCGAGTTAGATATTAGAAATATTCAAGACCAAGATTCCAGATATTACAGGTTACCGGCTCAAAATGTAACTCATTCTAACTTATTCTAACCATTCCAATTTCTTTTCTTTTTTATTTTCAAATATATATAGCATTAATTGTTCTATAACTTCTAACAGTTGATAGCAACTTCATAAGGAAATTTAAAATTTTTGAGTTTAATATTTTATTTAATCCTTTCATTGCTGCAAGATTATTCAGAGAAAATGGTAAATATCAATTAGTGCTTTTTAGGTTACGTATATTACCTTGGTAACTTCCTTCTCATGACCATACCATCGTAGAACACATTTTCCTGTATCCATGTTATTCAATGCTATCAGCTGTAACGTAATTTATCATTTAATCTTACCTATAAAAAATTTCAATAATGAATTTAAAAAAATTAAGGCGATTAAAAAAGCTAACTTTATCACGGCCTCCGCTCAATACTATGCCAGGCCTGACTGGTGCCAATGCTCCAATAGCATCAGTATGGACAGGAGGTTGTATGATTGGGCGCATTTGTTTCACCTGTGAGATACTTCGGCATCTAAAAAGAGTTCTCTTCAATTTTCTCCTCTTATATTTGAGCAAGATATGTGTTACTTTTCAATTTACAAATATTGAAACACTCAATGATTAAATTATTTTTACAATAATTATTAATATTGCATATCATTTTGTCAATTACGAACTAAAAATAGATAATTAGGCAATAAAATAAGATATTTTTAAAGTATCACATAATGGTTAAGTACCCATTCATGACTAGGTAATAATAATGTCATTCGGGATCCTTTGAAATTTCTAGCATTTAGGTAAATCGAGATATACTGTAATGTGGTGGCTATCAAGATTAAGTTTTCTGGAATGATTAATAAGTTCTAAAATTTGTTATTTATCTATCTACTGATTCACACTCATGGAAATTAGTTAGACCATCAAACTGAAGAAATTCCGGAAAATTTGTACACTTTGATATGTGACGTTTGATCATCTGGATTAAATCGTGTAGTCCATTTCGGTAATTTCGAAGTATCCCTTCCGGTCGTTGCTGAAGATGGAAGTAATTCAGATGGATCTTGAGTAGCTAAATGAGTATAGCTATTACCCATTATAGAATAGTAAACAAATATTTAACATTCAATTAGCATTACCAATAATCGATTACACACTTTTACTTCATTCCTGAAATTGATGATAAGATCATAGTGATCGATAAGAGATGAAAGCAATCAGTGAACGAATATAAGAAAAAGCAATGCATGACTTGATGTTTAATTTCGTAATTGAAAACGGGAAAAAATAGTTCCAAAAAAAAAAATTTCAATAAAGCTAGTCAATCTTGAAATTTAAAAATTGAAAATGGTATATATCTATGCTCTTCTAAACTAATCATTAACAACTTCAAATATTCTTAAAATTGGTAATTAAATGTGATTTCTTGTTGCACATCATGGCATACACGTATGTACATAATTAAACAAACAAAAATTTGTCAAGATTACATACGTAAGTAATTTTATTAATAAAATTAATTTATTGATTGCTGGATGCAATTAATGCTTATTAATAAACTATATTTTATGTATGCTAGGATGATCACAAGTTGTTTCTAAAATGAAAACGAAAAATTAATAGTCACAAAAATGTATGCAATAAGGAGAATAAGCAACAATAAAAA